TATTTATAACTCCCGATTGACAGACATTGAGCGTCTATGTCATCTGTTGAGTAAAACTAGTGGTGAGGCTCGAGAAATCGTCTCGAAATTTCCTTTAACTCATCGGAGTTTTGAACCTGCGTGGAATGCATTGAATTCCACTTATAATAATCCACGATTGATTGTCCATAGTCATTTGAAAACTTTGTTTGGCCTTCCTGTGCTGAATCAGGAAAGTAGTTCGGGACTAAAGTCGATTCAACGCGGAATTAATAGTTGTCTTTCCGCAATGGCAATTTATAACATACCAACGGAAAATTGGGATCCGATTGTGGTATTTCTTTGTTTGCAAAAATTGCCCAAATTAACACATGCATTATGGGAGCAAAATGTAAAATCAAAATCGTCTCTTTCATCTTGGAAAGAGTTAGATGCATTCTTGACAGAGAGAATTCGAACTCTTCTGTGTTTGCATGAGATGAGAAATTTCGGCACTGTGTCCAAATCGAATAATAAAATCAATTCCATTTCGTCTAAATGTGCGACTTCTACACCTCGTTCGTCGTATAATTCATGTTGCGTTCTTTGTTCAGAGCAACACCAGTACATCTTTGCTCTCGGTTTGTAAATTGTACACCTGCCGATAGATTTAAATTGGTCAAAAAGCATCGTTTGTGTGTAAATTGTCTTCGTAGGGGACACGAAGTCAAAAATTGTAACAGTCGTACTTGTCGAAAGTGCAATCAGAGACATCATACTCTATTGCACAGAGATAGCTCTATAGTGAGCACTCCGAGTCAGATGGTGACTCCTATAAATTCTTATTTATCGTCTTCGGCACCAACTTTTCGTCCACGCAATTTAAATGTTAATAGTCATTTGCCCTCTTCCACTGTGATTGATCCACCCGCATCGGCGGTCACTGCTATTCGACAGACCTTTCACGCCACGCAGAACAAAGCAGTTCTATTGGGGACAGCCATGGTCAATATTGTTAACAATGGTGCTTGTTTTCCTGCTCGGGCGTTAATAGATCCGGCTTCTGAGTCGTCTTTCATTTCTGAACGGCTTCAGAAGAAATTGAAATTGCCGGTTAAACCCACAATTTCGACAATTCGTGGAGTAAATAGTACTGTTGCCACAACTTGTCGAAAAATATGTTCATTTAAACTGGGTAGTTGTCGTAATAGGTCTCACAGTTTGGAAACGTCAGCATTGGTAGTAGATTCCATATCGGGAAATCTTCCATCCATTTCGATTACTTCGGATCTTAAATCGGATTTGTCAAATATAGTTTTGGCAGATACCGATTTCCTTGAATCTCGTCCAGTAGATATTTTGATAGGAGCAGACTTATATCCACAAATCGTAAAAAATCATAGTTTTCGACTTTCGTCTGGATCGCTGCTCGCTCAAAATACAAAATTCGGCTGGATAATTACTGGTCCTATAACATAAATTGTTTTTCGTAAATCGTACGAAATCGTTGTAAGGCGGCCCTCAACAAACATAACACAATTTGGCTCACATATCGCGGGGTCCCTAATGGCCCTTTCGTTTCGCGGGGTCCCTAATGACTCTTTCGTTTCGCGGGGTCCTTCATGGCTCTATCGTTTCGCGGGGTCCCTAATGGCCCTTTCGTACCACAGGTCCTTTCTGGCCTCACACAACCGCGGGGTCCCTAATGGCCCATTCGAACAACAGGTCATTGATGATCTATATAATCGCGGGGTCCCTAATGGCCCTATCGTTAGCATGTAAGCTTGTTATTTGAAAAAAGTAAAAAAAAATGATGAAAAAAAAAATTGGAAAAAATATTTGAAAAAATGTAAAAGGTTTTGCTCACCATGCACTATGCCGTTAATTATAATTTATCATATATGTTAAAACATATGGATGTTTCAAGGGAGGCGGCAAATGTTTAAGCGAGAATGCTATTTAAAATGGTTAAATAGTTAGCCTTTAATTTGAAAGGCCGTAGCCGTTGAAATCTGTCTACTCCTTTTTATTACACCCTTGTAATAGTATGAGGCTGACAGATTTCAACGGCCTTTGTTTACATTTTTGAGTTTGCGCCACCTTAAGGCATCTATATGTCAACAAGCATTGTTATTATTAACTTGAACTTTCGTTGTAACCTACGGGCCACACATATTGTTGTGATCACTAGCGCTTAAATTGTAAGCTACGCACATATAGTTGTGCTAATAAGGTAATATCGTTTACCAACAAATAAATATCGGCATTGGTCGACAACCTTTTAATAAACATATCGTGTTTTATTTTCTATTTCTTTTTTGCTCACGAGTACGCATTGGGCGTACTGACTCTATTGGGAGAATTCGTTGCACTGTACCTGCCAACCACCCAAGTCCCTATAGTGCGGACTTAACAATTGGGGTCTAGAATGATGTGTGTTAAGTTTCCTGAAAATCGGTTCAGATTTTATGCAAATGGTGCACCAAAGCCCCTATATATCTTCCGATTCGCACGAAATTTGCCAAAGCGCACTGAATTGTGTCTAGAATGATGTCTGCTAAGTTTCGTGAAAATCGGTTCAGATTTTGCCACAACCCGCAATGAGTGGTCTTGGCCGATTTTAGATGTTTTGAAGTTTAAAAAGTACGGCCTGAACCAATCTATACCATATTCTTATTTCAATACCAATTTGTAGCAACAGAAAATCTTATTGCTAGCTCATATCAGGGACTCGTCACAATAATTTCTTGTCCAAAAAATGCGATTTTTGAGATATGTGCACTAAAGTAGGGTGCATGGCACGTAAATCGAAATTGATTGTTATTTGTGAAATTTCCATTGTAACGGAAATTTATCTACGAACGTGTACAACCGCAATAACGTGTATCTACGTCACTTTAATAAATTATGGCATTGTTGCTATAAATCGTATTGTAATGTGAGAATCGAGTCAAAATTAATGAGAAAGAAAGAGAGAGTACACACACAATTTTTTTCGAGAGAACACACACATCCTGACGCAGCCACAACCATGGAAATCAAATAAATACCGTTAACAAGAGACAGACTGGAGACATTTATTGTTGAGCATTGGCCAAGTGTTGAACAGTTCGAACGGATAATAAAAAGATACCAGTTAACGGAATAACCGGAAATAAGCAGTGTATAACTGAAAAATAGCAGCAGGAAATACATATATACAAGGAAGTGTTCATGGAATTCCTTTGTTAAAAAAGCAAGGATTTTCGTTTCGGAAAAAATAATTTTCAAAAATTCAAAATAATAACAAAAGTTAATATAAATTATTGAAATTTTCTTGAAGTGGAGTACAACGCCCATATTTAAAGCAGACGAAGAAAAAAAAGAAAGCAAAGAAAATCTTGTGTATACAAAGACTCGAGAGACGGCAGGCCAGGCATTAATTGTGGGTGCACGCACGTTTACAAGGACTTGACACAGATTTCAAATTGCAATCGTGCACCACAATCACAGAGAGATTTAAAAGACAAAAAAGAAAAAAAATATTTTGAAAAAAGTGCAGTAAAAAAATATAACTTTTGGAAATAATTAAAAAAATCATTTATTTAAAAAAAGACTGAATAAACGAATTTATTCATTAAAGAGACTTCAATCAAAAAGACCAAACATCTCATAAATTGGAATCGTTTTTGTATTAAATTTTACTTGGAACCAATTGTCAAGATAACAAACTCCAGACGTTAACGTCCAGCCAACACTAAAATTCAATTCATTAAAAAAGTCCGTTTAATTACCCCAACAACGGAGCCCCTAAACAAATTTCTTAATCGCAAGGATAAAAACAATCCATGTCTGTGGCTCAAATATTTCGAAAATAAACGCAAGACCACTCCCCATCGGTAGCAGACGGTTGGCGAAGCGGGCCGACAACTTAGCTCAGCTTGGTATCAGATAAACGACAACAGCAGTAACAAATAACAATTTTTTTTTATTTCTGGTTTTGGGGTTTCAAATTCTGTCCAAATTGTAATTTCCTGTTCGCATACTCACACACCCACACATAAATGTTTTATAAACCCATATCAATGGAGTACTTAATTAATATATTGAAATTTAATATTAAATATTTAAAAAATCAATAATATAATTGCAAAGCAGAAGAACAAGAGAGTAGTGTTGTAAACCCACAACAACAATAACCACAACACCAACAACAACTCATAGAAGGCGTCCCGATCTGGGAAATAAATAAATATTGAAGCAACCAGAAGAACTGCAGAGACCAAATTTAAATGTGTTCTCAGAAACATTTTTTTTAAACGACAAAAAATATTCCTATCCGGAAAATATGTAACCAATAATATTGAAAAAAAAAATTAAAAACACCCAAGAAAAATATTCATCCAATTAAAGTATACCAACAGAAGCAACACCAACAAAAAGGCAAATCCTCTTAAATAGCTGTTCCATCAAACCTCTGGACACAAAGCAAAACAAAAAAATCATAGCCAAAAGGCAAACAGACAAAAGGCATACAGACAACCGAGCACAGCACAGCACGAGCGCCCTTGAGGCCAATCTCTCAACAACATCTTTATTAACAGCAACAAAGCAACAACAACAACAAGGAAAATCAACAAACAAAGCTCTCAACTGCATTTGCATTTCCCCACACACATATATATTTGCATATATTTACACCTGTGTCTAAAACTAAGAGGGTAGGCCACAACAACCCCTACCAACAACACCGACAATAAAGAGCCTAGCATCTCTTACCCTCCCCCACCACAATTTTCTCTGACTCTCAATAATAACAACATCGTAAAACAAGAACAACAACAACAGCAAGAAAACAAATACTGCCCGTTTGACGCCGTGAGGCGTATTAACACAACAACAACAAACACCCACCCAATAACCGACCAACAACAATATCGAAAAAAAAATATTTGTTCGAGCTTCGTTCACGTTCTTTGGTTACGTTTAAGTTCGGGTTATTTGTTTATTTTTTTTTTTCCTGGGAATTTTTTTTGAAATGGAAAAATCTGAACAATTTTCAGATTATCTTTTTGCCAAAATGGGTCCACCAAATTCTACCACCGTCAACGGTTCGGAGTTACCGCCCAAAACTACCGAACGCTGTGAAGCACCTCGTGAGCTAAAAGGCATACGCAAATGGCTAAGTGAGAATCTGATGTTGCTGGTCACGCTGTCCGGTGTTATGCTGGGAGTGATATTGGGTGAGTACTAATATCTATCTATACTAATAAAAGAGTGAAGTGATTGACTGACTGACTGATTTAACGATTAATTAACGCCCAGTCAAAACGGCTGAAGCTAGAATCTTGAATATTAGGTGAGGGTCACTCTTGGTCCAAAGGTGTTAGAAAAAGGCTGGGTTTTTGGAAGTTCGTACTTGGCGAACCAGTAGAGCTAGAACTCTGAAATTTGAGTGACTGATGGAGCGTAGAGTATATATATCAAAGGGCTTTTTGGAAATTCGAACTATAAGTATGCGAAAAGTACTAAATTTGGTACAATTTCGTAGCATGTGAATGGATTGAGCTGAAAACTTGAAATTTGGAATGCAAATTAAGGTTGAGAAGTAGGGTCGATATGAGGATAGTTTGGAAAGCGTGTACTCATGTGTACGAAAAGTACTATATGGTACTATATTTGGTACAAATTTGACTTGGAGGTACAAATCGAGCTGGTTTTGGAAATTTTTTACTTATGTGTACGAAAAGTACTAAATCGTACTATAATTGGTACAATTTTGATTTGGGTGAACCGATAGAAATGGAACAATGGAATTTGGAGTTAGGATCATAGTAGGGATGTAGGATTAAGGTCAGGATTCAGTTTAACAAATTAATACTTATGGGTACTAAATGGTACTAAATTTGGTACAATTTGAATTTTAGGTGAACCAATAGAGCTAAAATCATGAACTTTGGAGTCAGGATCACTGTTAAGGTGTAAGATTGAAATATGTGGGATGTTGTAGAAAGTTTGTACTAACGTGTACTAAATTTGGTACATTTTAAATTGCGATAGATAATTTAATAGCGATAGAGTTGAAATCATGAAATTTTGATTTAGGATCATTGTGGATGTGTAGGATTGGGGTATGTAGGAAGTTTTGAAAATTCTTACTACTGTGTACTAAATTTGGTACAATTTGAATTGTGGGTGAACCGATAAAGTTGGAATCTTGATACTTGGATTTAGGATTGGGGTATGTCGGATGTTTTGGAAATTCGTACAACTATGCACAAAATTTCGTACATTTTAAATTGTGGGTGAAGCGATAGAGTTGAAATCATGAAATTTTGATTTAGGATCACTGTGGAGGTGTAGGTTTGGGGAATGTAGAAGGTTTTGGAAATTCGTACTACTGTGTACTAAATTTGGTACAATTTGAATTGTGGGTGAACCGATAGAGTTAGAATCCTGAAACTTGGATTTAGGATCACTGTGGGAGTGTAGGATTTGGGTATATAGGAAGTTTTGTAATTGGTACTACTGTGTACAAAATTTGGTACAATTTGAATTGTGTGTGAACCTATAGAATTGGAATCCTGAAAATTGGATTTAGAATCAATGTGGAGGTGTAGGATTGGAGTATGTAGGAAGTTTTGGAATTAGTACTACTGTATACAAAATTTGGTACCATTTGAATTGTGGGTTAACCTATGGATTTGGAATCCTGAAACTTGGATTTAGAATGACTGTCGGGGTGTAGGATTGGAGTATGTAGGAAGTTTTGGAATTAGTACTACTGTATACAAAATTTGGTACAATTTAAATTGTGGGTTAACCTATGGAGTTGGAATCCTGAAACTTGGGTTTATAATCACTGTCGGGGTGTAGGATTGGGGTATTTAGGAAGTTTTGGAAATTCGTACTACTGTGTACTAAATTTGGTAAATGTGGGTGAACCAATAGAATTGGAATCCTGAAATTTGAAAATGGAATCATTGTGGTGGTGTAGGATCGGGGTATGCATGAAGTTTTGTTGGATGGTTGAAGAGGGTACTTATGGAAATAATGTGTGCTAAATGAAACTACATTTTGTTAAATTTGAAATTGAGTGATCGTTTAGAGCTCGAATCATGAAATTTGGTACTAAATGGTACTTAATTTAATTTATGGTCGATATTAATGTGTAGATTATTTTTCTGACATATGCAGTTTGCTGTGAAAATGAAATAATATGTCAATTCATGTTTAAATATTTCCTACATTCGCTGACGAAGTTGCGGGCATATGCTAGTATTTTTATAAAAATATTTCTTCAAAGGCCAACCAAGGCGTAGATTAGAACATTTTTTCGAAGGCCATCAAAGACGAAGATTTTTTAAAGAACATTTTTTCTAAAGCCAATAGAGGTTTGGATTCTTTTAAAGAATATTTTTTCTAGATCCAATAGAGGCGTGGATTTTTTTCCAAGAATATTTTTTCTAAAGCCAATAGAGGCGTGGATTTTTTCAAGAATATTTTACAAGGCCTTCCCAAGGCGTGGATTTTTTCAAGAATATTTTACAAGGCCTTCCCAAGGCGTGGATTTTTTCAAGAATATTTTTGAAAGTACCAATAGAGCTGTGGAGTTTTTCAAGTAATATTTTTTTCAAATGCCAATAGAGGCGTGGATTTTTTAAAGAATATTTTTTCTAGAGCCAAAAAGGGCGATGATTTTTTTAAAGAATATTTTTTCTAGAGCTAAAAGGGGCGATGATTTTTTTAAAGAATATTTTTTTAGAGCCACTCAAATAGATCATATGTTCAATTGTGCAGGCATCGCAAATTTTCGAAACACTATTTCACAAAATGTAGACATCAAAGCGACTGCTGCATTTTTTCCCCCAACAACATTTTCTTTTAACAAGAATTTGGCTTTATCACCCGGCTAAATTATGACAACATTATTCGGTTTTATGATGACAGATATGGCTAAAAATAACAACCAGAAGTAAAGACGAATATCATCAGTCATCGAAGACAGCAGCAACAACAACAAATAGATTTTGCACCAGATGACAGATAAATGGATGCCCAAGAATGTTGTCACTAAATAGTTGTGGTCGTCTATTAAAAAAATATACTCTGCATTCCGTTCCGAGATTGTTACCCAACAACAATAACGGCAGTCATGTGTAACCGGACGCAATTGCTACGCCTGGTGGCTGACTGGCCACCACGGCCACGACCACCACCATTTAAAAAGAAATTCAAATTTCAAGAGAACAATGTTTCACTGCAAAATTGAAAATAGACTTGATGTAATTATTTTATTGCGACCTAAAAATAAATAAATAACAACAACACGAACAAAAAATAGAAATTCATAACAAATTGGGTGTTAGCAACACGTTACAATTATTTTTTATTTTTTTAGTTTATTTTCGTTTTTGCTGCGGGTATTAGGAAATAGTTGGGTGGTAGGGTCGGAGAGGTGTTACGATAGTAGGGAACCAAATTATTTATTCACTACGTTATTTTCCGTTGACATGTGGCATGCCACTCAAAGTTAATGAACTTTATTTTCATTGCTGGTTGAGTTCGAAAGTGGGCCTTACACATCAATGAATTGCCGGCGTGATTGCCTCGATGGGTTGGGTGGGCGTTGAACGAATTCTCAAATCCTTTAACGAAATTTGTTATTCTTTGGTAAATAATGGTATTTTAATTAGGAATCGTGACGTTAGAAATAGTTCCTTGTGAATGGGTTCAGTTGGTGACTGGCACTTGGGGAAAGGTAAGTTGAGTAACAAATTAAAGGTCAATGGGAATTTGATTGTTTATAAATAAAAAATTGTATGGAGTTGTTTTTATTTTTAAATCTAGGGAGTGAATTTTTTTAAAGAATATTTCTTTTATGGCCTAAAAGAGGCATGGATTTTTATACCATACACAACTATGTTGTCAGGGTATTATAGCTTTGTTAGCCCCAAGAGTTTGTAACGCCGCGAAATATTGGTCCTAGACCCAGCATCACCACCACACCGCCCGCGGGCGCTTTTTGTGTGCACTCATACAATCACAATTTTTGTTGAATAAACGACAGTTCACCACTTTTTCCACCACCGAAGTGGTTGCTTGTTTACAAACAACGTACCAACAGATTAGTCTCGTATGAGCAATTGATGAAGGAGGTAGTGTTGTCGCTTGTTTCTTAAATAATCACGAAAAATGATCACCACGGGCCTTGTCTGTGAGACAAACACAATCAAACCCACTGCATATGTGGTGGTTGGTTAACCCTGTCCTAGACCCACCTTTGAGTATACCGATCGTCATATCTCGACTAGCTGAGTCGACCTAGACATGCGTGACCGCCCGTCTGTCCATTATAATTTGTAAAGACGATACAGGCAACAGTTATGGACCAATCTTCACGAATTTTTGCATGTAGGATGAATGAAGACCCCTATTGTTTTTGGTAAAGATCGGTTAATATTTAGGGGATGAAATGGACCAAATACTTCATTTTTGCCGAGGCCGCAATTATGGCCCAAACATATCGAATTTTTAAATGGAGAAGGGGATTGGGCCAAAGAATTAGCAAGCCTGTTTTGATAAAGATCGGTCAATATTTAGCGGGTCAAATGGACCCTGACTTTTGTGTGAAAAATGAAAAAAATTGTATTCTATAGCGTATATATTTACGTCTGAAGGACATAGACCCGAGAAGTTGATAGTATATCCAAGTATAGTGGTTGACCTTTAAATTGATACCAATTATATTGTCGTATGTACTCGGATGTGGGAGTTACACGTAAATATTTACAGAAGCTTACGTATTAAGATATTATTTAATAAACAATTAACACACTAGAGGGCAGAAATATAGCGCGGATCGCTTTGAAACGTGCCAGTTATTGTCAAGGACAACGCCTATAATTTGTTTTTCGAGTCGATCTATAGGACACAATTGAAAGCCGAACATCACAACACATGTATGGGAATATGGACAAGTAATAAGAAGGGCTGTTCTGAATATTGGTAATATTCGGAAAATATGTCAGTGAAAGGAAGAGGTGCTGTTGACCTCTTATCGGGCAAGAGGGTGCAACTATCACGAAATATTACCCAAGATCGGAATAAAAATCCGCAGAAAGATAGAGTTTTGTGGTAGTTGTGTAGGGTATCGTATGGTCGGCCCCGTCCGACTATACTGCTCCGCTCACTGGTTTAACGAATATTTTCGCAAGGTATAACAGAGGAGTGGATTTTTTTAAAGATTTTTTATGGCCTAACAGATGCGATATTTCTTTAAGAATAAGGCGTCGATTTTTTTTAAGAATTTTTTTCATGGTCTCAATAAAGCGTTGATTTTTAAAAGATTTTTTTTCATATCTAAAATAAGCGTGGATTTTTTAAAGAATATATTTTCATGGCCTAACAGAGGCGTGGATTTCTTATACCCTTCACCACACTGTGATACAGGGTATTATGTCTTTGTGCATATGTTTGTCACAGGCAAAAGGAAACGAGATAGACCCATGGTTCCTTTTGAGAATATGCATAGAATTGGATATGCATAGGTCGCATTTATGATCCGATTTGAATGAAATTTGGCACAGCTCACTTATTTGGAACAAGGACGAACCCTATATATCTTTCGATTTGCATGAAATTTGGCACATCGTACTGAATTGTGTCTAGAATGTGTGAGAAGATCGGTTCAGATTTTGATATATATATATATATATATATTCGTCCGATTTAAGGTAAATGGCGCACCAATGTCCCTATATATCTTTCGATTTTCACGATATTTGGCACGGTGTACTCAATTGAGTCTAAATTTATCTGTGTTAAGTTTCGAGAAAACCGGTTAAGATTTTTATATAGTTTTGAAAGATTTTAGGTAAATGGTAGGTAAGTCCCTATATATTTTCCGAAATTTTCCATAGTGTACTGAATTGACGCTAGAATGATGTGTGCCAAGTTTCGAGAAAATTGGGTCAGATTTAGATATAGCTCCCATATATTTTTTGGACCGATTTAAGGTAAATGGGGCACCAAAGTCCCTAAATATCTTTCGATTTGCACGAAATTTGGCGCAGGGTGCAGAATTTTGTCCAGAATGGTATGTGATAAGTTTCGAGAAAATCGGTTCAGATTTAGATATAGTCCCCATATATAGTTTTGACCGATTTTAGGTAAATGGTGTACTCAATTGGGTCTAGAATGACGTGTGCAAAAATATGCAGAAAATTGGGTCAGATTTAGATATAGCTCCCATGTATATATATACATATATAGTCGTCCGATTTAAGGTAAAATGATGTGTGCTAAGCTTCGAGAAAATCGGTTTAGATTTAGATATAGCTCCCATATATAGTTTTGTCCGAATTTATGTAAATGATGTACCAAAGTCGCTATATATCTTTCGATATGCGAGAAATTTTGCATGGTGTACTCAATTGAATCTAGAATGACGTATGCCAAATATCGAGATATCGTCCGATTTAAGGTAAATGGGGATCCAAAGTCCATATATATCTTTCGATTTACACGAAATTTGGCAAAGAGAACTGAATTAGGTCCATATTTTTTTATGGATTTTTTTTAAAAAATGGTTTTTCTTTGCCTAACAGAGGCGTGGATTTTTTAAAGAATATTTTCATAGCCTAACAGGGTTGTGGATTTTTTAAGGAATATTATTTCATGGCCTAACAGAGACGTGAATTTTTTAAAGAATATTTTTTTTATTTATCCACTATTTACCATTGTTCTTCTTAATTTTATGTATAAGTTCAAAACAAACATAAATTAATTAATTTGCATTCACAACAACTGCAACAATACTCTTATTGCGCAAAACAAAAACAAATAGGAAAATCCAAATGAATTGCACTTGGTGAAAGATTTTAATTCCCCTTAATGGCGCCCAACTGTTGCATTATTTATTGAGGCTTCACATTGCACACTTCAGTGCACTTGGAAATAGAAAACAGAACGGGGATAACTATGTATTGGTTCAAGTTCAAGGTAAACAACATCAGCAACACCAGCATATGGTGGCAATAAAAAACGGAACCAATTCAATCCTCACACACACACACACAAACCATATCAGAAGCAACAGCTACATACAAACTTGTTTTGTTTTTCGCCTGAGTAAATATAATTTCTCTGAGAACACAAAACAAAAAACAAAGCATTTAATACAAAATAGGTCAGATAAAAATAGAAAGAAATTTTATATACAGCGGAAGGATACCAAGGAAGAGGAGGGATAGAGGGAAGGTGTTAAAACCCAACAAAAACATCTATGAACACATTTTGAAGAGCAAAAGTGTTGATGGTGTTGATTGTCACATAATCTTCGAGCTAAGAGGACATTAATGCATTCTGAGACACATTGACATCCTTTGTATTCACTTCGAAGGATACAGAAGACCATCACCGGTGTCACCGGGGATGAGGGGGTTAGATAAACAAACACTATTATGTGTTTTTATTTTAAATTTTTATCATAAATAAGCCATTCATTTTTATTTCTTTTATCTTCTGCTTATTTTTAGGTTTCTCACTACGCCCCCTGCAGCTGCATGAGGACTCCATAATGCTGATTTCATATCCGGGTGAATTATTTATGCGTGTCCTGAAATTAATGATTTTACCGTTGGTCATCTCGAGTCTCATTGCCGGTTCGGCAAGTTTAAATGCACGCATGAATGGTAAAATTGCCCTGCGGACCTTGGTATACTTTGCCACCACCTCGCTGATGAATGCAGCCTTGGGCATTGCATTGGTGCTACTAATACACCCCGGAGATCCAGATTTACATAACAATATAGATCGTTCCACAGATAAAAGGGCTGTGAATTTATTGGATAGTTTGTTGGATTTGGGAAGGTGAGTAAACATATTGACTAAAACTATTTTCAAATGCCTAACATAGGCGTCGACTTTTAAAAGGAGATTTTTCCAAGGCCTATCGCACAAGGCCCACAAGAATCTTAGATTTTGAAAGAATGTTTTTTCAAGGCCTATCAGAGGCGTGGATTTATTAAAGAATAGTTTTTCAAGGGCCTAGAATAGGCGTGGATTTATTAAAGAATAGTTTTTCAAGGGCCTAGAATAGGCGTGGATTTATTAAAGAATAGTTTTTCAAGGGCTATCAGAGGCATGGATTTATTAACGAATATTATTTCAAGGCTTATCAGAGGCGTGGATTTATTAACGAATATTATTTCAAGGCCTATCAGTGGCATGGATTTATTAACGAATATTATTTCAAGGCCTATCAGAGGCGTGGATTTATTAAAGAATAGTTTTTCAAGGCCTATCAGAGGCGTGGCTTTATTAAAGAATAGTTTTTCAATGCCTATCAGAGGCGTGGATTTATTAAAGAATAGTTTTTCAAGGCCTATCAGAGGCGTGGATTTATTAAAGAATAGTTTTTCAAGGCCTATCAGAGGCGTGGATTTATTAAAGAATAGTTTTTCAAGGCCTATCAGAGGCGTGGATTTATTAAAGAATAGTTTTTCAAGGCCTATCAGAGGCGTGGATTTTTTAAAGAATAGTTTTTCAAAGCCTATCAGAGGCGTGGATTTTTTAAAGAATATTTTTTCAAGGCCTATCAGAGGCGTGGATTTATTAAAGAATAGTTTTTCAAGGCCTATCAGAGGCGTGGATTTATTAAAGAATAGTTTTTCAAGGCCTATCAGAGGCGTGGATTTTTTAAAGAATATTTTTTCAAGGCTCTATACAAGGCGTGGATTTTTTAAAGAATATTTTTTCAAGGCTCTATACAAGGCGTGGATTTTTTAAAGAATATTTTTTCAAGGCTCTATACAAGGCGTGGATTTTTTAAAGAATATTTTTTCAAGGAGGGCATAGAAACAAGCATGACCAATATAATGCGCTCTAGTATAACAGTTTTTATTTTCTGTATTTCTTCTAGTGTTATAATGAATAGTTTATAGCAAACGTTTGTGGTGTGTGTCTATGCTGCTATATTTTATAGTTTATGGGAAGTGTTGTATAACCCTAGGTTTGGGTTTGTATCTATGCTGCAGTATATTTATATGTTATGTGATGTTTGTGGATTGGTGGTTGTATAAATATGTTTTTCCAGGGTTGGAAGTTATAAATGATTATGAAAGATGTTATAACTATTAGATGAGTGTTATATTTTATAACAGTTTTATTTTAACAATATTTTTATTAATATTTGTTTATATTTATTTTCCAGGAACGTCTTCCCCGACAATCTATTCCAAGCCTCATTTCAACAAGCGCACACTGTTTATCTGCCTAAACCCTCCATTTCGAATACATTCAATGAAACCTTCAATGAAACTAGTCTCGTAGATGTAGACGCCGGCGTAGATGCCCAACGACAGGACGCAGAGCCGACATTGATACGTGTTATCCAATATCGTAGCGGCACCAATACCCTGGGCATTGTCTTCTTCTGTTTAGTCTTTGGCACATTCCTTGGTACAATCGGCGAAAAGGGCCAGGTGGTGGTGGATTTCTTTTCGGCCATTTTTGAGGTTGTCATGAAAATGGTCACCTGTGTTATGTGGCTGACGCCAGTCGGTATCAGTTCGGTGATAGCTGGCAAAATTCTGAGTGTCGATGATCTGCATATGGTGATGGCTCAGCTGATGTGGTTCATACTGACGGTGACCATTGGTGTGGTGCTGTATCAGTTTGTGATAATGCAAGTCATCTATTATATTGTTGTGCGTCGCAATCCATTCAAATTCTATGCTGGATTAATACAAGCCATGCTGACCGCATTTGCGACAGCTTCAACGTAAGCCATTAATACATATACATACAATCTATATAAATATTATATATACAGACTATATCGTAAATCATCAGATGATGAGAGAGAAAAAAACATTTTTGTTTGGAAATTTCCACACACCCACTAATGTGTTGGAAAACAACAACAAAAATTAAATTGAAAAATAATAATGCAGGGAGGTGGGTGTCGTTTCTGGCACTGAAACCTCCCAATCCTCGGATCATATTGCTATAAGAGAATTATGAAAAAAATCGATTCACTTCAAATTTATTAACATGCTGAGGGAGAAACCTTAGTTTCTTCCTTATAAAAAAAATAATTTAAAATTATATTTTTACCACATTTGCTACAAATATTTCTTTCCTTTTTTGGTTTTTGTTCGATCTTGAATGCAACATTTTGATTTTTACGTTCTTTCAACAATCAAATCACCTCCTTTTGTGAAAATTATTCAAACTAAATTTTCCCAACCTTATATAAAAAAAAACAACAACAAAAAATTGTAAATCAAAAATTCCCCAAAACAACAACACCACCAAAAAATGTGAAAAAAATTACATCTTCAAACCCAAACATGTTCGTTAATGAATTTGTTCCTTTCAAACATCCTGTGATACTAATACAAAAAAATTCATCCTGTGATAAAAACTTGCAAAACTGTGATATTCTACAACTGCTATAACTGTGATACAACAACATCACCTACATATAACAACTACTGCTACAGTGCCGCTGCACTTCCTGTGACATTCCGTTGCATGAACGACAAGTTGCGTGTGGATCAACGCATAACTCGCTTTGTTCTCCCAATTGGCTGTAACATCAACATGGACGGCACGGCTCTCTTCATTTCGATTGCTTCGATTTTTATTGCCCAGATGTCCGGCATGACATTGGGTTTTGGTGAAATTGTCACTGTGTTGTTGACATCGACTGCGGCTTCTATGAGTTCGGCAAGTGTTCCAAGTGCTGCTTTGGTTTTGCTACTGGTTGTATTGACGGCTATCGATGCTCCCGTGCAGGATGTCACATTGTTGTTCGCTGTCGATTGGTTTGTGTAAGTATTTTCTTGTTTAAATTACAAAACAAAAAAATAATAATAATACCACTTAAGAATATATTTGAATCAAATCAAACTCAAACCTTTTAATATCTCAATATCAGAAAAAATGGACTTAAGCCACTTTCAAAATAAACGACCCAATTATGACTTATTGACTGACTTAAAGATTCGTCAAAGCCCAGGCGAAACGGCTGGTAACTCTTAGTCCGAAAGCATCTGGAACGGTGCGAAAAGTACCAGAAATAGTACCATTTGTATTTTGGCGAATCGGTAGATATATTTTTATGTAGGATATTTTTATCAAAGGGTTTTTTTTTGAAAATTCGAACAACAAGTTTTCAAAAAGTACTAAAATGTACTAAATTTGGTACATTTTCGAAAAATGTGAATGGATTGAGTTAACCATTTGAAAATTGGAATGCGAATCATGTTTGAGAAAAATAGGGTAGAAAAAAGCCAATAAAGATATGGTTTTGGAAGTGTGTACACATGTACACGAAAACTACTAAACGGTACTAAATTTGGTACAATTTGTAGTTGGAGGAATCGATACAGCTGAAATCCTGAATTTCGAAATTAAGTGGGATATGTAGTTAGTTTTGGCAATTTGTACTTATGTGTACGAAAAATGTACTAAATGGTACCATTTTTGCAACAATTTGTATTTGATGGAACCGATAGAGCTGAAACCCTTGAATCTGGAAATAAGATTACTAGTGCATTGTAGAATATGGTACTAAATTTTAGAACAATTCGAGTTTTGGATGAACCAATAGAGCTCGAATGCAAAAATTTGGAGTGAGAGTCACTGTTGGAGTGTAGGATTGAAAATTTGTACCTATAGGAACTACATTTTCTAATGTTTGGATTTAGGTGAACCGATAGAGTAGGAGTAAAAATTGCTGTTAGAGTGTAGAAGTAAGGTATAATATAGGTTTGGGAATTCGTAGTTATGTGAACTAAATGGTAATAAATTTGGTACAATTAGGATTTAGGATAGGACCGGAATACTGAAATTGGGAAATACGACTTCTATTGGATTGTATGTTGTATGTAATAATGGAAATTTGTGCTTATGCGTACAAAATGATACTAAATTAGATACAATTTGGATTTAGGTGATATGATAGAGCTGGAATCCTGAAATTTGGAATAAAAATTACTGTTGGAGTGAAGGGTGATGGTGCGAATGTGGTTATGCATATTTGTACTTATGGGTAATTTGGATTTGGAATCCCGATCAGGCTGGAGTCGTACACAACTATGTTGTCAGGATATTATAGCTTTGTGCAGCCCCAAGAGTATGTAACGCCGGGAAATATTGGTCCTAATACCACCTTTTATTAAACCGATCGCTGAGTCGAAATTATTACATAGATAAAAGGATCGGACAAAGGAATAAGCATGCCGGTTTTGATAAAGAGCGGCCAATATGTAGCGGGTCAGATCGACCCTGACTTTTGTGTGGAAAATTTCAAAATTTGTATTCTTTGGCGTATATATTTAACCCTGAAGGCCATAGACCCGAGAAGTTGATAGTATATCCGAGAGGAGTGATTGAACTTTAAATTTATACCAATTATATTGTCATACGGATGTGGTAGATACACTTAAATGATTATAGGTGTTTACGTATTCATATATTATGTAGTAACCCATTACCACACTAGAGGGCGGAAATATAGCGCTGATCGCTTTGAAATTTTCTTGATGTTTCAGATATAGTCAAGGACAACGCCTGGTGAAGATCAGATAATACATTTGGGATGAAGTGGACCGAAAACTTAATTTTTTGTATTTTGTTCGATTCGATCTATAGGCCACAATTATAAGCCGAACATTACAACACCCGCACTGAAGGGAATAATCTGTACGAGTAACTAGAAGAGCTGTACTGAATATTAGTAAGAGGGTGCAAATATCGCGAAAAATTACCGTTGCTCAGAATGTAGTGCCTCATAAAGTTAGATTTTCGTGGAAGTTGTGTAGGGTGTCATGTGGTCGGCCCCGTCCGACTACAATGCTCCGCTCACTGGTTATTGTTTCTTTTTTTTATTTTTTAGTGTTAATCATAGATAGGGATGGTCCGTGTGACGAATTTTTAGGTTTTCGACTGTCAAAAAGGTGTAAACGTCGAAAACGTCATATACCTATATAAAATGTAATAAACGTAGTAAACGTCATTTATATCAATATTATCAGCATATACAGTTATTTTCAACAATCCTTACTAGAACTGATAAACATTTCTAAATTTTTTTGAGAAGAAAATTTTGAAATTTTATATCGATTTGAGTAAAGCATGCGTAATTCCCAAATTGATTAATGGAAATAGCTATTTTGTCAAAAACCTAGTGGATTTAGGTAGGTTTCCGATGTTTCTGATGTAAGTATTATACGTCGAAAATGTATGTCATTTACGTCACTGTTTCTGACAGGCTATCTCTGATCATAGATGAGTTTAAGGGAATCCTTCCATAGACGAACTGACTAAAGATAATATTTTATAAACGAGCTGGAGCATTGAATCAGCCATGGACGAATCCTTAAATTCAGAAGAGAATTCCTGTAGACGAGTGGACAGCAATTTTTTCATAGACATAACTGAGGAGTGTCTTTCATTGTGGAACTGAAGATAGTTTTTATAGAAGAGCTGACGAGAGTTTTCTTTAGACGATATAAACGGACATTATATAGACGACCTGAAGTAAGCGATTCTCCCATACGCAAGCTGAAACGATCTGAAAATTGTCGTTCATAAACTATTTGAGGAAAGTCTTCCAAGGAAGAAAAGTCTGTACAGGATCAAAAAGGCTTTAGTTGATCAGTTGAAAATATGTGGTCTTTTATTGACGAGCTGCAGCTGTGAGCTTAAAGATGTGTATCATAGGTAACCTAAAGAGGGTCTTTCATAGAAGAAGTTGTAAGAAGTAAGTAAGAAGTTGTTCAGGCAAGTCGAGCTGAGGGAAATCTTTCGAAGATGAACCCAAATGAGACATTTAAGACGTATTCTGTTATAGACGACATTTAAGACGTATTCTGTTATAGACGAGCTGACGATAGCGAGTATTTTTGACAAACTGAGTGCAGCAGAAGGCTGGATTCATTAACACAAGAACTAAGTAGTGCCCCTCTTAGATAGCCGGGGGTGAGACTTTCGAAGAGGAGCTGAGATGGTTCTTAATAGACGACCTGAAAATAGGCTTTGTGGGTGAGCTTAAGGATATATTTCATAAGGTAGATAAAGGGTGGTCTTTCATAGACGACTTGGAGCAAGAAGTCGAGCTGAAGGAAATCTTTCAAGGGTGAGCCGAAGTGTTTCCATTTGGACGAGACGAGAAGGAAGGCAGTCTTTGATAGACGAGCTGAGGGGAGCCTTTCTTAGACGAGCTAAGAGGAAAATTTTTGATGAACTAAGTGCAGCTAAAAGCTGGATTCATTTATACACGATTTACTTCTTAGATTAGCCCGAGGGTAATACTTTCAAAGACGAGCAAAGAGGATTCTTAGTAGACGACCTGAAGATATGGACCACGAAGGTCGAGCTTATGGAAGTCGTTCATAGGCAAGCTAAAGAGGACGAGTTGAAGGCAGGTATTCTTCCATAGACAAACTAAGGGTCGCCCCCTTTGACAGTCTCACAGGATGAGACTGTCAAAGATGAGCTGAGAGGTTTCCTTATAGACATCTGAAGATAGGCTTCGTGGGCCAGCTTAAGGAGGTCTCTCATAGGCCAACTTAAAGGGGTTTTTCATAGAGAACCTGAACCAAAAAGTAGTTCAGGGAAGTCAAGCTGAGGGAAATCTTTCGCAGAATAGCCGAAGCTAGTTCTTTTAGACGAATTGAATGTAGGCATTCTTTCACAGCCGAGCTGTGGATAGTTAGATGAAGGAACGAACATTAATATACGAATTGATTCTTAATAGACGACCTGAAGAAAGGCCTTGTGGGTAAGCTTAAGGAGGTCTTTCATAGGCAAGATAAAGGGAGGTCTTTCATAGACAGCTTGAAGCAAGAAGTCGATCAGAAGAAAAATTTTCAAGGATGACCGAAGTGAGTCCTTTTAGACGAGATAAGAAGGCATGCATTCATTCGTAGACCAGCTGACGGGAGTCTTTAATAGACGAACTAGGGGGTCTATTTAAAGACGAGTTGATGTGATTTTTCGTAGGCGACATGAATGGAGTTTGTATAGATGAGCTGATGGATGAGTCTCTTCATGGACGATCTGAATCAGGGAATCGTTCATAGACCTGTCTTTCGGTTTCGGAAAATTTTAAACCAAATTTTTCAATATAATTCATATATAGTGACAAGAATATGACATTATTCTTAAAATAATATTTTTGAATTGTTTTGTTTCCTATACACTATTAATACTCCACTTTTATTTGAATGCAATCATAACATTATCGTGGTTTTCTTCTATTTTCAGGGATCGTATTCGCACCACCAACAACATGCTGGGTGATTGTTATACCGCCGCCATTGTTGAGGAGTTATCTCGCAAAGAGTTGATGGCTCTGGATGCAGCTATTCTATATCAGGTAATAAATAAATTTCTATACAAATAAATTAAAAAAAAAATTGTCCCCTCCAAGACCCCCAAAATTTCCCATCCAAAAGGTTAAGTATTTGTCACAAATATAAAAAATAACAGAAATTTCAAATTTCTGTAACTCACTAAAAGCAAAATGTACGCTTACAGATACCGTTGCGAATACCGAAAAAATATAGTGAGCGAGCGATGAACCCTAAGCAAAGAACAGTACAATTTGTTTAAATCCAAATAATAAAAATAATTGTTTCATATTTTAGAATAATTACTAATAATAAATTTTGTTCTCTGTTTTTTGTTTTTGTCTTTTGTTTTGTGGCGGATTCTGTTTCGGTTTGTGCCACACACTTTATAATTTGTGTTTACTCACAGGAAATTCCCATCAGCACGCCAAATGGTCATGTCAGCTTGGAGGGACAAACTGAATTGGACAGTACTTGCACCATGCCGGATGCCGTTATCGTCGACATGAATGCGGTCATTAATAAAGTCCAACAACAGCAGCAGCACCAACAACAACAACACCAACATCCACATCATCAAAATGGTCATGCTAATCATAAAATATAAGCAGAAGAAGAAGAAGAGCGAAAGAAAGCAAGGCAACAACAACATAATTAGCAAAGCAGCAGTAGACAAAGAAAGAAACTAATGAAAGAAGCAATGCTAATAAACCAAAGAACAATAATAATTACATACATACAAACAAAAAATATATATTAGAAAACAACATGATATATACCAACAACAAACAACAAGAACATTAACAGCAATTGTAGTCAACTAAATAACAACAACAAGAAATTATATATTGTTCACTTTTCTAGTAGTAAAGCCAAAAAACACTATTCCCCATCCCATATTGGCCCCATTTTTATTACCCAGCCAGTCAGCCATTCAAAACGTAAATATCTTTGTCGTCAATTTTAATCCAAACCAAATAACATTGGGGCATTAATTACAAAAATCAAATAATTTTAAAAAATTTTAAAATCATAAATAATTATATCAAACAAGAAATATTTTATCTTGAAAAAAATACTTTTAAAAATCAAACCCCAACAGAAAATAAGAAAAACTAAAAATATTTATATTAAAATTTATCACACACACACACGGGTGCTACATATTTACAAAACAAAAATTAGATACTTCCAAAGTGAATTAGTAAGAAAGTGTGTGTTTCATAGAGAGAGATATAGAAAAGAAAGAGAGGAGCGCATTTCACAGACGAAGTTGAGCCGAAGTGAGTCCTTTTAGACGATTTGAAGGCTATCATTCTTTCATAGGGCGCCCTTCTTAGAATAGCCCGAAGGTGAGACTTTCAAAGAGGAGTCTTAATAGGCGACCCTAAGATAAACTTTGTGGTCGACCATATGGAGGTCTTTCATAGGTAATCCTAAGAGAGTATTTCATAGACGACCTGGAATAAGAAAACGTTCAAGGAAGTCGAGCAGAGGGAAATATTTCGAAGGTGAGGTAAAGCGAGCCTCTTTAGACGAGTTGACGGGCATTCTTTCATAGACGAGCTTAGGCGGCGCCCTTCTTAGATGAGTCATGGGTAAGACTTTCAAAGAGGAGTTAGTAAGATACTTAGTAGACGACCTGAAGATATGGACCACGAAGGTCGAGCTTATAGAGGTATTTTATATGTAAACTAAAGAGGGGCGGGTTTCATAGACGAGCTGAGGGGTTCTTTCATAGAGAACGTGAAGCAAAAAATGGTTCGGAGAAATCGGACAGAGGGAAATCGTTCAAAGGTGAGCCGAATTGAGTTATTTCAGACGAGTTGAAGGCAGACATTCTTTAATAGACGAGCTGAGAGGAGCCTTTCATTGACGAGCTAAGGCGAGTATTTTTGACGAATTGAGTGCAGCTGAAGGCATTAATGCACGAACAGAGGGGCGACGGGGGTGAGACTTTCAAGGGGCGGGGGCTGAGAGGATTCTTAATAGACAACCGGAAGATATGTTTCGTGAGCTTGCTTAAGGAGACGTTTCATAGGTAAGCTAAGGAGTGTTTTTCATAGACGACATGAAGCAAATCATTCAGAAAAATCGATCAGAAATACATTTTTTGAATGTGAGTCCCTATAGACAAGTTGACAAGGCAGGCATTCTTTCAAAGACGAGCTGAGGATAGTCAAGTGAAGGCCGGATAATAATACACGAACTGAGGGGCAAGCTTAAGGACGTCTTTCATAGGCAAACTAAAGAGGGCATTCCATAGAAGAACTGAAGCAAGAAGTTCTTTGGTAATGTCGTGCAGAGGGAAATCTTTCGCAGATGACCCGAAGTAAATCCTTGAGAGGAGTCTTTCATAGGCAAACTGAAGGGAGAGGAGCTGAGGGGAATCGTTCATAAATTTTCTGAAGAAAGTCTTTCATCGACTAGTCTTTCCTAGACGTGCAGAATGAAGAAAATTTAGCAGATGAGTTGATAGACTATTCGAGATGAGTTGAGGAAGGCCTTTAGTAATTTGTTGAGAGGAGTCTTTCCTAGATTTTCCGACGTAAAATGACTTTAGTAGATGTTTTGAAGACAGTTGGTATTTCATAGGCGAGATGAAATGGGGAGTTTTTCGGAAAACGAACTGAAGCTGGGAGTCATTCATAGAACACGTGATGGGGGAAGTCTATCACACCTCAAGCTAGGGGTGGGTCTTTTTAGACAAGTTGAAGCAGTAAACCTTTTTAGATGAGCTGAAGCAGGGAGTTTTTGACAGACGAACTTATGAACTAAAGTTGTCATTCATGAACCATCTGAATCAAGGGCTCTTTCATAGACAGGCTGAAGCAGAAAGCCAGTTAGAGACAACAGGAAGTTTTTCATAAACATGGCGAAGCAGGGACTCTTCCATAAGCACGCTGAAGTACGGACTTTTTATATACTTTCTTTGATAGAAGTAAGGAAGAGACCCTATATTATAGGAGCTAAAATAGGACGTCTTCCATAGATGAACTGAAGCAAGGGATATTTTATTGGCGGATTGAAGGCAGGAGATTTTCATAGACGAATTGAAACTGGCAGTCTTTCATAGACGAGCCGAACATGGAAGACTTTCTTTAATAAGCTAAAGCAGGGGCATTTTTTATATACGAGCTAAAGCTGGAAGGCTTTACTAGCTAGGAGTCCTACATAGACGTGTCGAAAAGGGGTATCTTTCCTAGACGTGCTGAAGAACGGGAGCGGAAACTGGGAGTCTTTAATATACGAGCTGAAGGAGAGAGGCTTCCCTAGACGAGCTGACGAAGGGGGTATTTCAAAGGAAATCTGAAGCAAGGAGTCTTTCGCAGGCCAGTTGATGAAGGAAGGGGGTCTTCCTTCTTTCCTGCTAAGCTGAAGAATATCGGTTCCATAGACGAAATGAAAGAAGTATTTGAAGCCGAGTTAAAGACTCTGGTAGATTTTCTTCATAGATGAGTTCAAGAGAATCAACATAGAAGAATTGATGACTTATTCATTGGAAACTTATGAGAGTGCGTATATGGACCCTAAATGTAGTCCTTATAGACGACCTGAAGGTAATTTAGATATATGATCAGAATATAATATTAATAGAAAATTTGAAGGTAGTAGCGATAGATTGATAGGGAGTATTTCAGAGACCATCAGAAAAGTGGATTTTACATAGAAGGAATGGGGGAAGTTTGAGAGAAGTATTTCAAGGCGAGCGTAAGGTAATACTCATATGAGAACTGTTTTGACTTTTTCAAGGACGAGCTTCATCCTTGAAAAGGCCTAGGGGAGTATTCCGAGATGAAATATTCGAGTCTTCAAAACAGAACATTCATTGAAATCTGATGAAAGACTTTGAAGGCATCCTAAATTTAGACCTTATGGAATACATGAAAGCAATCTTGACATATGATCTAAAGGCAATAATTAAAAAAAAATCTGAAGGCAATACTGATAGATTGATCGGAAGTATTTCATAGATGAACTGAAGAATGGAGTCTATAGAAACGAAATGGGGGGAGTCTGAGAGTGTATTTCAGGACAAACTGAAGGTAGGTTTTATATGCGAACTTTAGGGAGTTTTTCATTGTTAAGTCTGAATGGTGTCTTCAGAGATAAATTGTTGCATATTTTTTCTGCGTTCACGGTTTTCTGTAAAAAAATGTAAAATTTTTCTAGAGAAAAAAATTATTAGCCCTTGAGGCAATTTTTTTGGCATTGTTTTATATTGAAAAAAAAATCATTACCCAATCTTGGCTAATTGGCAATTTTTTTAATAGAAAAATTATTTAGCACTTCAGGAAGATTCTTTAGTTCTTTAGGATTTTTTTTATAGAAAGACAATGGGTCCCTTCAGGGATTTTTTTTATATGCCCACAGAAAAATATAGTTTACCCAAAGCAAAAAATGTACATTATTATTTTATATGGAAAACTTATCTATAGAAAAATCTATAATTTTGGTAATATTTTTCTATAAAGAACACATAGTCTATTAGAAAATTTCTTTAAAAAACATATTTATTCGGTCTAGAAGTTCAGGAAATTTAAAAAATACAAAAAATCAAATTTCTTCCTATAAAAAATTATTTTCTAAATAATAATTTAAAAATAGGTCTCCATTTATGACGCTCTCACTTTGGAAGTATTTAAATATTTTTTCGTAGCACCTTGTAATCAGACTGTTTTTATGATAATGTCTAAATAAAAAAATAATCAAACAATAATATGAAACTTTGCATTCTCAAATTAAACAAAAGCCCACCAAAAATTGATTTAATGAATAATTAATTACAAGAATTTTAAAATCAATCTGAAAACAATAATAAGACTTTCCTTTAAAACAAAAGAATAAACAATTTATTAAAAAGACAAAAAATTACATTCTAAAAATGTTTTAGAACCCCTAAACCAAAAAATAAAAAAATACACTTCCCACTTTTCCCATTCCACATATAAAAATAATCACTCCCAACAACCAACAACAAAAGATCTTAATGTTAGGCAAAAATATTTTACAAAACAGTGTATAAGAAATACCAACAACAACAACAAAAACAAACAAACTGAATTTGTGATGTTATTAAGTATTTTTAGTGAAAGCAAATAGTAATATATATATTTCAAATTTATGTTTAATTATTATTATTATTTTAATTTTTATTTTAGAATTTTTTTAGTGTTGATTTCTTTGATTTTTTTAATACATGAAAATAAGTTAACATTTTTTACCTTAAATCTAATAATAACAATAATGATATATATGTAGCAATCTTATGAATTGGTGGTCATTGTTTTGTATTATTTTTATTGAAATTATCAAAAAATATTTAATTTTAAAACATTGGCAAGCCTTTTTATGAAAAATATCTGTCTATGTATGATTTTTTTAAAGAAAACAAAAAAAAATAAATATTCACATTTTTTAAAGTAGACTGATAGAAAATTAGTAATTTAAACCAAAAAACCAACAACAACATATTTGTATGCAACAAAAAAATAATTATTATAACCTACTAAACAATAATGATAAAAAACAACAACAACAAAAATATAAATATCGTCTGAATAAAAATTATAAACACTTACTATGTACTCGATTATAGTACCGAAAATACGC